ACCAATAAAAACTATATGAAACTTTAAATTGTTTCATAGTGTAGTCAAGAAATTAGAGACTATGTACATGATATTACCCGACAGTTTCAAAACAACAAAAAACTAAGTTTGGGGGCGGAAAAGATGAACGCGTCTGCTTACAGAGTTGACAGCTCAATAAAGGTCGCTAAAGTAGTAACTAGATTTAGAAATCCCCAGGTACCAAGTAGCTACCACATGAGCGGTGAAAACAGTGCTATACGGTCCCAGTCAGTAGCTATAATTTTAATTTGACTTTCCACCAGGTATACTCTATGATTTCTAATTTTTTAAAGCAGATTTCTGTCCATTTTAGATGTGGTTGTAAAAAAATTTCGCTTACCCGACAAAAAAATGGTGAAAGATTCATAAGGGTGTAAAAAATTCAAAATAAGTGACAACGTACCAGATAACTGATTCTTTTTATAATTTTATTTTTGATGTTTTTTCTAGTTATACATACATAAACGTTATTTGTATTATTGGTAATTTTTGCAATTTTATTAACGTATACAAGTTTTGAAATTTTTTAAGTTCTATTAAACTATTTGTGTTTTCTGTATTATATTTAACGGGCAGCTACAGTAATGTGTCTGTTTTTTATGACTTGTCAATCCTATGATCCTGTAACAATTTATAGTCTTTTAGAGAGTCTTATCGAAATTTGTGGGGCAAATTTATGTCATATAAGATCATGTAGAATTCTCTATGTATGTTTTAAGAACTCCTGAGAGTCCTAGATTATGTAGCAATTCACGTGAGATTTTATAAAATCCGATTAGATTCCGTTGTAATCTGTAAGCATACTTTAGCCTCTTTACAAATTCTTTTAAGAGTTTTGTGGAATTTTCGTAGGAGATATGGTAGGAGTTCATATAGGTATTCTTGCATGATGTCTTATGGCAGTTGTTGTAGGAATTTGTATAGGAATGCTTTTAGGAGTTCTAATAGGATTCCTTTGTAAGAATTCTTATAGAAATTCTTGTAGGAATTCTTATATAAATTCCTATAGGTTCCTACAGCATTCTATACGTTGTTCCTATAGGCTCATGAGCCAATTTCCAATAGGATCCTATAGGAAGTTTTAATAGGAATTCGGAGATCTGGTAGGAATTCTTATAGCAAAATTTGATAGGAAAACTTGTAGGAGTTCCAATAGGGTTCTTTTGTAAGAATTCTTATAAGAATTCATATAAATTCCTATAGGTTCTTACAGCATCCTATTGATTATTCCTATAGGCTCAAGGGCCAATTTCCAATAGGATCCTGTAGAAAGTTTTAATAGGAACTCCTATTGATAATTTTCGTCAGGGATACTATTATTTACTTTATCATACACAAATGTTTAGGGCTTTTCAGTTTATGATCATTGATCATTCAATCATTGGACAGTAATGAAGCTTTTTATTTTGACAATTTGACTGGAATGGTATTAAACCTGAGTATTTCACATACATGAAATGTTGTCCCATGTCACATATTGTCCCCTTTTCTAACTGAACACCTCATGTAGAGATGTAAAGGTGTTTTAATCTACGGCTCATACCAGATTGTTTGCAATAAGTTTCAAAGGGCTATTGATGTATGAAAAGCATTTTCTATAAAGTAAAAATGTCTTCCTATGTATGCAGATAAACCTTGAAATTTGGCAAAACAGCAAAGTATTTTTCATGATCACTAGGTAAATTTTCTGATGTTCATTATTAATTCTAAACTAAATTATTTCAGATTTACATTTAAACGAGCTTTGATCATATGAAAAGATATTTATCATAACCAGTAAGCATCACTTATGAATCAATTTTAACATTCAAGTAATTATATAATTAAAGATATGTTGGTTACATTTTGTTTGTATTTGCAAATACAATGCTACTAGTGATTGCTACACAGCACACCTTGCAGAAGATAATAGTCAAATGAAATGCCTTATTAACTTTTGTGGCAGTAAGCTGTCCTTAACTGCAAATTTTCACTCGGATAATTTTTGCTTAATCTTTGGCAGAAAAAATTTTTAAGTTTTTCCTCAAAAGGTGAATTTGCTGGCACTGATGTGGAGATGGGTAAAGGGATACAATAAATTTGCATGGTTTGAAGTCTGCGCTTTTCTATATCTATGAACTGTCAATTGTAGTACCAAATTTCTAACTTAACTCATTACATCATTTACTCTTTACTCATTATTGTATCTTGTCAATTGCATGATTTTATCACCTGACTTTTTTTTCCCAGCACAAGACCTTCATGCAAAAGATATATTAATGAATAAAAGATATTTTCTTACACATCTTAATGTAATATATTTATATGCAAATGTATTAGCTAGATACTCGTGTTGTAAATTTTTTATCTTTTTAAAGTTGTTGAAATTTGAGCATAGAGCTGTAAAAGACGATTCGCTGTGTAAAGTAATGTATCGTGTCGATAGCATGATTTTATCATCTGACTTTTTTTCCCAGCACAAGACTTTCATGGAAAATTTGATTCCGGAATGAAAAGCTATATTAATTATAAATCTATTCGGGAGCAATTTATTTTCTTCAAGTCTTCAACTGTGTATATTTACTGAACTAGTCAACTGATTGATGTAAGCAACTGATATTATTATTAATGATTCTATATTGACTTCATAAATTATCTTATTATATTATCTTCTTAAAGTTGTTGTATTGGTGTGTTTACAAACAATTACGGTATGTACCAGGGGAAGTGACGGATGTTTTGAAAGGTTGGTTAAGCAAATTACTAGAATTGTTAGTGGAATCACTCTGACTATTGTCAGCAATACCTCTTACGCTTAAATTTTAACCTTTCAAATTCTTTTGTGAAATTTCTACGTGACCAAACTCAGATTGACTGCTTCTACAACAGGTTGATTCACACAATTCTGTCGATTGCTTGTTTTCTTCTTGAATAAGTGCATTACTTGAGAGAAAGCTTGTTAACTTTTTCTGAACCTTTTTCCTCTTGGCTAGTGGTTGATTCTTATTTTCAGTTTCCATTTTTGTTCATCCCAATTTTTGGAAATTGATTAATTATTATCTCAACTGAGAGAACGTCATATGTTTTTTATGGATTTCTACTTCTATTTAATATAGCTTTACCAACAAGTACAATTATAAAATCGCAAAATAATACTAGTTATAACATTTTTTCGTTTCTATTTAGTTAAATTTCGATACGACATAATGAGGACAAATTATACTTTTATAGTTTATACCAGTAGGTTACACGAAAAATATCGAACGAAAAATTAATAAATTCAATTCATGTAGTTACAATCCCAGAATTTATAGAATATGAAAAAATAGTTATATTAAAAAAGTTTGACTCACCTTTAAGGCTTGATTTCAATTGTACATTTCATTTCATGTATACATTACTAATGCTTCTTTTATTTAGATTTTACAAATCCTTTCTACAATTTCGCATTTCAGTTATAAGGACGATTTTATGCTGACAATTAGAAAGTTATGATTGCAACAAAATTAAAGCATTTTGAGCATTTAAAAAAATCCATTAAATATGAAGTCAATGCCATTATTTCAGAAGCCTTTATACATGTTAGATGTAAAGAATGATAGAAATATTATCTTCCTAAAACCTGAAAAATCGATGGTGTTGTTTTGCTTTATAAGGCTAATTTCAACAGCAAGAACTTTCGTGTTAGTCTAAAAATATTGTGAGATAAAAGATAAAATGTCACTTAATAAATTTTATAAGACAAGATTGCCTATGGCTATTTTGAAAACCATCCATTGGGGTTTTGTCTTTGTAATGACAATTCAGTCATTATAAAACTTAAGCTTGTTTCGACGTTTCCCTTTTTTTACGTAAAGGAAATTTGATATCGATTTTCATGTGCTCCAGTCCCTCTTGAAACTGTTGCATTAATCTATTGATCTCAGTCAGGAATCATTTATGTATATATAAATATTTATTAAATATTTGATTCATCCAAAAATGTCGGAAAGATTATTTTTTTATATTCTGCACCCCTGAAATAGCACTCTAGTTATTATCAATACAACTCTGTCAATTATGAAAGAAATTTGTCATGAGTTTATGCCGTTATGCAATCGCCTCACGAAAATTTGCCTTTTTTCTCTGTTTTAAAATGGCTCCTTATCTTTGAGGTATTTTGAAACAACTGTTAAAACAGCTAAATACTTTGCTGAAAACATTGCTATTTTCAGATTATGAAGCACCATTTTGTTCATTTCAAACTCTCACCAGATTTGGGCTTCATTAATGCAGGTAAAAGTAAATCATCGGTTATATTGAATTGTCATTTGAAAGTATAGCAGGCATGCCTTTATAATGCCTCCATCATGACTACGTTTTGTGTGAAGAAGGCAACTCATACAACTATATCTACTTACAGCTGCGTGTCCTTAGTTCCATGCGCCTGGTTATTTTAAGCTAATACTTAGTACTTACTACAAATTATGTCAATATTTAGATTTTTCACCACAACAAAGTTTCTGTCAGGTTAATATATTAATGAATAAAAGATATTTTCTTACACATCTTAATGTAATATATGCATATAAAAAGATATTAGCTAGATACTCGTGTTGTAAATTTTTTATCTTTTTAAAGTTGTTGCAATTTGAGCATAGAGCTGTAAAAGACGATTCGTTTTGAAAAATAATGCATCTTGTCAATAGGATGATTTCATCAGCTGACTTTTTTTTCCCAGCACAAGACTCTCATGCAAAATAAATATTAATTAATTAAAGATACTTTCTTACACATCTTAATGTAATATATGTATATGCAAATATATTAGCTAGATACTCGTGTTGCAACTTTTTTATCTTTTAAAGTTGTTGAAATTTGAGCATAGAGCTGTAAAGACGATTCGTTGTGAAAAATAATGTATCGTGTCAATAGCATGATTTTATCACCTGACTTTTATTCCCAGCACAAGACTTTCATGGAAATTTGATCCCAGAATGAAAAGCTATATTAATTATAAATCTATTCGGGAGCAATTTATTTTCTTCAAGTCTTCAAATTTGTACATTTACTGAATAGTCAGTGATTGAGGTAAGCAACTGATAATATTATTAATGATTCTATATTACTTTTGCCTTAAAGGAATCCATCACTGTGTGCTACAATATTTTGTCAAAAAATTTGTCACGATTCATACATGTAGTTAAGATAGGTTGCGTCTTGCTGTCGACAAAATATTCTTTTACATAGCATACGCAAATATAATGTTAAACTTAAGTAAGAAGAGTTGACTAAATTGGACTGGATGCTTGCATATATGTAATTAATATATATAACTATTTCTGTGATCAGGTAGCAATAAATCAAATTAAGATTGTTTGTAATGTTTGTTAAGAACGGGCTGACGTTTGACATTTTAATGCTTTACGTAGTATTTGTGCTTTCATTTAATATTTTATATAAGTGGCTCAATGTAATCATTAAGGTCAGTTTAGTAAAAATCATTTTTCAGAATGTTGTGCATTGATATTTCTTTTCTATTAACTTTATTCACCTCTTTTTTTCAGAAAATACAAAATGAATATTTTGACCTACATCATGATATTGTTGGCTTTTGCTAGTTGTTAAAACACCTCGCTTGTAGATATGTTACAAGAAGCCGAAAAACCAGGTATATTTAATTTCAAGAAGGGAATGAGGAATGAAGTTATAATCTAAGTTGTAAATGTTGCGAGTTATTTATGCCTTCATGCATGTTATTAACGGAACGTACGTCTTCAGAGCTTGTTGATGTTTTTTTACCTCGTCGTAACAATGACAACTGTTTTCTGATTGTTGCTTGAGTGTGTTTACCTAGAAATTGCAATGTAACCTTCAAAGTTACTTTGTACTCTTGAAAAATTACGTCTTAAATAAAATTAACCAACGCATTTAGCACGCAAGATTACATGCTCTGCGCATTAGTAAAACCGACTAAATTATATTTTCAAAAGAAATAGCTTTAGCATTTGTTTGGTTAAAAACACTTAAGCACGACTAGTTCCTCAACTTGTAAAGACTTAGTGCATAAAACACAGTTGTTTGAGGATTATTGGTCAAAATTTATATACCACTAAAATTTTCATGCAATGAAAAAATGACCAATGCAGTTTTATTTTTTGACGCACCAAGGGCTTTCTATGAGAACACCTTTATCCAAATTTTACTATTCCATTTGCAATGCGTAGAACAAAGCCTGTTTTTAGAGAAATATGGCCTGGCCTGTCGCATTTATAGAAGATGTAAAAAATTAAGTTCATCTATTATCATTTTATTTTTGCAAGAGGCACGTCTATTAAAATCAGAACGATACAAGTTATATCTTTTTTTAGTTAAAATGTTCAGGACTTGCTATTGCAAAGATGTACCTGTCCCTGGAGTTCAGCGCCATGGAGGCTGTTTACGTGGCGAGAGATATTGCAAAAGAACGTATCATAATACTGTTTTTTGCTGCGTCAAAAGACCATGGTTGCACTAAGAAATAATTACAGCATCAAATGAAACTAAATTTGATATTTAATTTGCTTATTGTTTGTTTGTTAAATCATATAATAATATCTTTCGTATTCTAAGATCATATTTTGACTGCGCTAGTTTGCCTTGAAATGTGACTCTTAGCTGATATGACATGTGTTGACATAAATACAAACACTGCTGGAGACTTCTTTCTTTATGGCGTACAATTCTTGAGGCATATATTTTGGTGAAAAGGTGGCTGGAAGTCATATCACGTGAGTTCAGCTTCAAATAAGCGTGATTAGAAACAAAGCGGACCAAGCTATTATCTTACAGATAGGGAAATTACAGGATTTTTTCCAATTCACAGCCATTTTTGTATTATTACTAAAGGAAATTGAAGCAAATGGCGAAGGTTTATGCTCGAATTCATTCTGCCTAAGTGAAAAGAAACTACAATGTCTTTCGTAAAAAAGCACTTTGAAACAAAGATTTTTTCACGATTACATGCTTTTAGATTGTGTTCTAATGTCAGTGTCGTATATGGTCAAACATCTTCCGAGAAATGACAACACAATCAACAGCAGCTTTGCAACAAGCAAAAAAGATCGCAATTGTGGCAGTTTAATGAGTTATTTTTTTACACAAACGATTGTTTCTATAATGTATTACAGAAAAGTAGAGCTATAAATCCGCAAGACAAATTCACCTCTTTCTGGAACAATTTTTCATTACCAGAAGTATCAGGGATTTTTCAAACATCGATCATAAACGTCGGAGGCGCTCCGCACCTGGGGCGTGGTCCGAGGCATTCTCCCCTGAGAAATTTTGAATTTCAGAGCCTTGAAAATGCCATTTACAGCGTTGTAGAGCAATACAAAATGTATTTTGTGGGCATCGTTTTTACGTGAAAACAACACATTTTGCTTAAATTTTTTCTAAAAAAAAATAATTGAACAATACTTGAATGTTTTCCCAAATATTCAGGCTCGTTATCATGCCAAGTATATGGTTCAATAGTATGTTTAGGAACGTAAAATTTATTTTACAACAATGCTATTCAAAACAGACATAGTCATTAAAATTTCTACCAAGTTGTCAGGCATAGACCCCTTAGGGACCCCCATTCAAACCTATATATAATGAGTTAAGTTAGAAATTTGGTACAACAAGTGACAGTTCATGGATATAGAAAAGCTCAGACTTCAAACCATGCAAGTTTATTGTAACCCTTTACCCGACTCCACATCAGTGCCAAAAAATTAACCTTTTGAGAAAAAACTCAAATTTTTTTTCTGCAAAAGATTAAAAAAATTATCATAATGAAAATTTGCAGGTAAGGACAGCTTAATGCCATAAATGTTTATTAAGCATTTCACTAGACTGTTATCTTCTGAAGGGTGTGCTATATAGCAATCACTAGTAGCAGTGTATTTGGCAATACAAACAGAATGTAACCAAAATGTCTTTAATTATATAATTACATGAATGTTAAAATTGAGTCATAAGTCATGCTTGCTGGTTATGATAAATATATTTTCATATGATCAAAGCTCGTTTGAATGTAAATCTGAAATAATTTAGTGTAGAAAATATAATGATCATCAGAAAAATTACCTAGTGATCATGAAAATACTTTGCTGTTTTGCCAAATTTCAAGTTTTATCTGTATGCATAGAAGACATTTTACTTTATAGAAAATGCTTTTCATATATCAATAGCCCTTTGGAATTTATGGCAAACAATCTGGTATGAGCCGTAGATTAACACAACTTTACATCTCTGCATGAGGTGTTGATTTAGAAAAGGGGACAATATGTGACATAGGACAACATTTCATGTATGTGAAATACTCAGGTTTAATACCATTCCAGTCAAATTGTCAAAATAAAAAGCTTCATGGATAAGAAGACTCAAAATCACAGGTTATAGTAAACAACTTCTCATGTAATCAATGCTAGTTTTCTCAAATCTTAAACAATATGTAGTATAACTGTCCAATGATTGAATGATTAATGATCATAAACTGAAAATCCCCAAGCATTTGTTTATCAAAAAGTAAATAATAGTATGGCGCTTAATGGCTACAGATTTTTCATCAATTGAAATATATTTGCAGGAATGTAGGATTTTGCTGCCATATAACGGCCACGATTCCCCAAGCACTAAAGAAATCATAGCTAAAAGTCCGTCGGCAACAACAATTTTACAAGCATCAATCTGCATACATATGCCACATTGACATAAATGGCATCACTTACTCGCATAAATTGACCTTGATATTTTACATTTATGCATACACTTCACTTATCCTTTACTTGCGATTTAGGATGTAAATTTCTGCTGATAAAATTCCAAACAATGTTGCCAAACATGACTGAAATGTCGCTCGCGAGATCGTCTTTGCCAAGCATTTACAATTTATCCATAAATGTTTCACCCTCTTGAAAAAAATTCACAGATTGGGACAGCAGCACTCAGGTCAATATATGAATTTGTAAAAGATTTCCGTAAATTCCATCTGATTGTAGTTTAGTTTCAATCATGCTTGTAAAAAATACTATGAAACGATCAAACATTCAATTCAGACACTGAGCTTGACTATGATAGTTCAGTTGGCTATCAGTCGAAATCCGTCAAAGCAATCACAATGAAACAAAAATTCAAATGAACCAATTGTAAGATAGCAATTGGACTCCCTTATACGTCCGGCCACCCCTAATATCAGTCGAGACCATTCCAGACTGTCTACTGATCTGGCCATTGACCAATAAAATAGGCGTTTTCTGCGTTCATAGACTGCTTTATCTGTCGAACCAGTCAAGCCACCCCGCATATCAGTCGGTTATTCTAGGTCAATTAAAATTAAACTGATATGGTTACCAACGAGATATTCATTGGATTAGTCATTAGTTTTCAATAATAAATAAAGCTGTATTTTTATCATGAAGTAAATGCGATAATAAAGTAAGAATAATTAATGAGTTTTTAATTAATATGAATAGGTTATTTTTGAATTTCAAACATCAGTTGCGCGACGGAATTGACATATTCTAGATCCTTCCCTGAGAAATATAAGGAATTTGGCACCATACATATAATATATTAATCCTAACACGGTTTTTGTCGCCATACATTTTGTCCCATGCTTTTCGATTGTGTGTTTAATGTTAGTATCATATATGGCTAAATATTTTCAGAGAAATATCAACAAAATCAACAGCCGCTTTGCAAAATGTCAAATACAATTGCATTTGTGGCAGTTTAATAAATTACTTTTTTACAAAAACGTCTGTTTTCATAATGTATTACAGCCAAAGTAGAGCGATAATTGAGCTACACAAATTCACATCTTTCTGGAACAACTTTTTATTATCAGAAGTATGAGGCAATTGACGCCAACATTTTTTCAGTGTTGTGCGCTAAGTAATTGCATTGTAACACATAATGACTTTTTGAATTTTGCAGGATGAAACATTTAAAAAAATGAAATTAAATTATTTACAGCACGATGAAATAAGTCAAATGACTTACCACACAGCATAAACAAAAATAGCTTCTCAAACAAACTTTGCTGTGTGCTTTTCATTGAGAAACGTAAGCTTAAAGAAGATGACATTTTCTCAGTGTTTTATTGCTTCAAAATAATTACAGGCACACACACTCTCATAGCCATTCTACAAAATGTCCAAAGGATAATTAATGATGTTTAATGATAAAAAAACAAATGAAAGTGACATATATGAAACATTGAAATAAGACAATACAATCATTAAACAGAATTAACTTCTGTAAGATTTACTATGGCGTAATTACAAGCAACTGGGAACCTGTTGATTTTGACAGAACTTAACTTGATTTAAATTTTTTAACACTTTTAACATTTATTTTTTTGCAATATAGATTGCAACGAGTTTAAAACTCCAAACTCTTAAATATCCTTAGAGAAGTTACGACGTTTTACGTAAGATAGGACCTAAATGAGTATAAAAGGTATGGTGTGACTTACGTGAAATAACTAGAAAAATGAATTGGGCCTCGAACTTTTCTTGTACATGGCGCTGTTGAAATGGAGATACGCAAACGTGAAACTTTTGATAAATGTACTGTTAGGAATGACGATAAATTATATGTGTATTAAACTAAGTATTAGATATCTAATCATTGTATTAGTCACGTGATCTTGTAAGCCGTGCTTATTGTACGCCAATTGGTATTCATTATTCTTTTTATGTTCTGCTCAATACCGCATGGTTTTGGACAAGACGTATTATGTATTATTACATATATCTTATTTTTCCTGCACAGTTGAATAATAAATTAACAGGTTATGGGCCCAGGACACTAGAACGTCTGGGTAGTATCAAAGATTTGGGTTTAATGGAATAAAAATGTTTATATAAAACAAAATTAGATTGAAGCATGCAACATTAGAAAACTTAAGCAAACGACGTTTTCCACAACACGGACGTAAACCGGAAGTAATTCTACAACCTGACAGTTATTGCGCATGACGAGAGGTTCGCGTTGTCAGGTCGAGGATTCCAGAACTTGCGTTCTGAGGTTTTTGTCGATAAAGTGTTTGCTAACAGACGAAGCAATGGGAGAAACGTCGTCTGCAAGTTTAGAGTGAGTGTTTCATTTGTTTTTCGATAAATACAACATACTAGGCTGCCAAAATTAAATAGATGTGCAGAGTTTATACAAAAATGTTTGCTCAAAGTATTTGTGTTAAATACTTATAATTAACAATCACATGTATTGAAGTGCAAACTTTAAATATATTTTTGCACATTTTCAAAAGGATTCAATCGCCTATGCAATGGTCGAAACAACACGACGTTTTGTTATGTCGCGAAATACTAGCCGTTGACCCTTTTCAAGCAAAACGAAAAACAACTGCCAGAGCAAAGTATTGGGAGAAGGTAGCTGCAAACTTGGAAAAAATAGATAAACCAAAATTTAAGGTTTCAGCCCGTGCTGTACGAGACAGATACAGCCGTTTACGTGAAAAATTCAAAAAGAAAGCTCGTGAGGAAAAGTGTGCAAGTGGAATATCCCCAGAACCGACAGAGTTGGATACTTTGTTAGAAGAGCTATCAGAGCGACAATTGTCCTCAGATGAAGAGCGGTTCCAGAATTATCAAGAAAACGACAAAAAGAATAAGCTGGACAGAATAAAGTCCCTAGATATACGAAAGAAAGCGATGGAGAAGTTGTCAGAAACCAAACTACGAAAGGAAAAGGAGAGTGATAGTGGTGAGCAAGAACCACAAAAAAAAGACGTCGATCAGGAGGTGAAATTGTTGCTTACCTTAAAGAAAAAAATGAGGTAGAATTGGAGATGAGAAAACAGGAGTTGGAGATGAAAAAAATGCAATTTGAGGCAGATAAGAAAAGACAGGATGACATAATTAATTTGCTAATGCAGCAAAATACAATGATAATAAATGTTAATCAAGGAAAAAAACAATACAAAGTAACTTCAGAAAAATATACTTCCATATCAACCGTGTTGTTTTGTTAATTGGCAGCACATTTCTTGCGAACTGGTTCTTACATATTATAGTTTGTTTATAATTTGTTGTTTCAAACTTTTATTGTCATATGCTGTATTCATGAGCAAGTCATTTTCATTATTTGCCTGGCAGTTATGTCAATTTATAGTAAATATTGATTATATGGTGGATAATTTTAGTAGAGAATGATAACTCTAATTTTAGCAACACATACTTTTTTATGTAAAATAGTTTTGAAGTGTTGGAGGAGAAATGTTAAAATATTTGGATGTAAGATTTTCATATAGACAAGTATGAGCATTCTCCATAAGTGCTGCTACAACATACATTTGGCCAACTGAGCTTAATCCTGATTTTAAGTTTTGTTTAAAATCCAAACATTTAAATGTTCTGACCACATCACCAAAAAGCCACTCAACTGAGACTCGTACAGAGCTCATAGAATTGTTGAAGTCTTTTATTTGTTGTGTTAATTGAACATCCCTAAATGGGGACTGTAAATGTACCCGCAAAGGGTAAGCTGGATCCCCATACAAGCAAAGTGGATTTCCATTCCTTGTAAATGCATTAATATCCAAATCATTTAGTAACAGAGAATCTCTTAACATTCCTGCATCATGCCTTTTCCCTTCTAAAACAATGTAAAAGTACAAAATAATAATTAATAAGTTGTCTGTTGTATTATATCCTATACCATGTAGGTGTAAAAAATATCAAATTGAAAATATACATACCAACTGGACCATAAATATGTGCCATAATGCCATTTGGTATAGCTAAGCTCTGGAATTTTAAACTATGCACTCTTTTGTGTCCATTATAAGCCTGACGTTGGTTGACTGTTGGACGACATATTGGCCTGACTGTTCCATCCGAAAAACAAAAACAATTACTCAAAGCTGCACCTTTCATAGTAATTGCCCTTGCATAATTTTCAAGGCACTCTGAATTAAGAATGTGGTTGTTCCATCTGGTAATACGATGCCCATGTGTTTCGAATATGAAATCAAGTACAACATTTGTTGCCATACTTAAGAAAGGGACGGGTCGACCAAATAGGTTAATCATGTCACTATAGCGAGAAGGGTATGCCATTCGATTAAGGAGAATACAAAGTCCTTCCATACCGGGTAATGTTGATCTTTGAAGACATTTGAAAATGTCGGGTATGTTCAAGACTTCTGCCAGAGACGGTAGATCGTACTTATCAAATCTGAAGAAAGCCTTGCACTCAGCTTCTGGGATGTCTTCCAAATTAAATTGATCGTATGCTTCATAGCAAAAATCTGGATTTTTTGAAGTGAAAGCCTCTAAAAGTAAAACTAACTCCTCGTCGGTTAAACAGTTGTTTGCATGACTGAGTAGTGCTGCACTTCTTGCATTCTTGAATGAATTTTCCATATCAAAAAACCCAAAATTAACATATCTATAAGCAAGCTGAAGTTTGAAGTGAAAAATATAATTCAGCTTAACTGTTCAAATTTCCCGCCACCGACCGCGTCCTCGACTCAGACCTACACTCGCCTTGACGTTCGTGTTGTCGAAAACGTCGCTTGCTTAAGCTCTCTAATATCGCGATGTCACCCGAGTTGTATTGAAGGTAACAAAGCTGAATGGTTTAGTATTTAAAGCTAATGGAAGAAAGCAAATAATCATCGGATATTCTGATGCTGATTGGGGAAACGATTTACCCAGAAACACATACCCAGAAGATCAATATCTGGGTATGTGTTTCAAGTTAAGGGAAGCACCGTAAAAGCGTATAAAGGTCAAACATGTGTTGTAATGTCTTCAACCAAAGCTCAATACGTTGCACTAAGTTTAGCTGCACAAGAAATTGTTTGGTTGAAGAAGCTCATACAAGATGCGAATGTGAGATTACACAAATCATTGTTCAATCATGAAGATATCCAAGAAGGTGTCGAACTAACAAAAAATGCCAAGTTTCATAACCGCACTAAACATATTGACATTGCATTTCACTTTATTCGAGAGAAACTTGGGAGTGGGTCCATTGATGTGAAATTCTGCCATACAGACCAAATGTTATCTGAAATTATGTCCAAAAGTCTATCCAAGGAAAAATTTATAAATTTCAGAGACATTCAGAAAAATTGAGAACAATTGGGAGTTTCTGAAGTCAATTAATTTTAGTCTTGTTTAACAATAATATCCAAGTGGAAGTGTTAGGAATAACGATACATTATATATGTGTTAAAATAAGTATTAGATATTTGATCAAAATACTATTCACATGATCTGGTAAGCACTTCTTATTGTATGCTAATTGTTATTTAATATTCTTCTTATGTTCTGCTCAATACCGCATGATTTTAAACAACACTTATTATGTATTACTTACATATATCTTGTTTTTCCTGCACAGTTGAATAATAAATTAACATGTACGTAACATTTTTATTACTTTTTAACGCCTTATATTTCATCTTAAAGTTTGGCAGTCACTTTGTTAAGTTCTGTCACTTTGAATATTTCTGGTAATATTTCATTATTTTCATAATTTTTATTATATTTTTCAAAGCCACTGAATCATTTATTTTTGTTGTGTTTATCTAATGTATGGAAGGCTAGAAACGATATTGCTGACTTTGGCCTCATGTAGTCTGTTCGTGAATTAAATAAAAGGCAGAAAGCATGACTCTATTTTTTTGCAAATTAATAAGTTTTATTTGTAAAGTTAAGTGTATGTTAAGTAATTGGCAGGGGCATAACCAACCCGCAAGTTTTTGGTCATGCTATGTCAATTTTATATCATAAGCATTAATCATTTTTTTAGAAATCTATTGGTTTCACAGTGGGTGAACACAGAAATTTAACATAGCAGGACCAAATTTGCGTGCAGGCTACGCTACTGGTAACTGGTCAAATTAACTAATCGACATCTCTTACATATCATTTAAGTCATTGCATCAAACTTGAGTTAATGTAGCATTCATTTCTAAAATTGTTTTCGGGTCAAGACAACATGAGATTTGTCGTGAAATTTCGTGAGAAATCTGAAGGATTAAACTTTAAGCAAGGTAAACACGTGAGAACAGTCACGCCGAAAGCAATCAAAGCAAGTGCTAAAAATTAATGCAATGATGATTATATGATTGAACAGTGAGCACAAAGAATATTTTTAAATCTGGAACAAATAATTCTCTACATTTATAATATGATTTGAACCACAGTTATTAATATTTACAGGCTATCCACATGTACGTTATGCGTATCTATTTTTTCTTCAATAAGCTAGACCATGTTCAAAAATAAAGACTTGCATTTTTATTAATATTTTGAAACTGATAGTATCTGAGCAAATGAACTATAGTTGTCTCTTCATATTTCATGTGTAATCACTGTCTAAATCTCGCTGTACATTATAATAACATACATACGTTGCAACATCAGTTACAGGAAATGTTTATTAAAATCTGTACAAATTGAGAATGTATCTTTAAGGATGAACATTCATCAGACATTTTTCTTGCATGATGCCTTCGTACTTGCTCATGAGGGGAAATATACTGATAACCATCTTAAACACATTCTACACCAGCATCTTTTGTATGTCTACAGTTATGATTACCCCACCCAATATGAAAAAAAAAATTGAAATAAACATCTCATGACCTTTGCAATAAACATTATCTAACCATGCTTTTCCATTGCCATCAGGAACATTACTACCTTGCAGAGCTTTCAAAGCACTTTTATAACCAAGTTGACGACATACTACTTTAGCACCATTTAAATCCCATCCATCATCGCATACTGTTCACAATTCTCCTGTGTACCATACTTCCACACCACCCACTCTATCATCTCCATCATGAGAGTTTGCTCCTTAGAATCTGATGGAAGGTCTTTGAACTTTTAAAAAAAAGAATTTTGTTATTTTTTAAATCAAGCCGGGACGTTGTCAACGATTGATGTTAAAAAACTGGCTTTACAATGTTATTTGTGTGGATTTAATCTGCCATTCTTTCTCTAAAAGATCAAACAAGCCATATCAAGTTTGCGGTATACTTGTGTGTTTAGTGTACTGTCATCTGTTCTGGTTAGTAGGATGTCGAGGAAGGTAAGTTGTTTCTCGTGCTCTTTGCCTCTTTAGTGAAGGTAATATTCTTTTGCATTGTTTATGGAGTGTGGATGTGTTCAGTTTTGTCTTTCTTGAATATGACAAAGATATCATTGACATGTCTTTTCCATTGTCTGGTTTTTGCGTTGTTTGTAATTGATTGTGTTTCGAGGTGTTGCATGACGGCTTTTGGGAGGAAGGCGGATGGTAGTGACCACATTGATGTGCTTGAAATTTGTCTGTAATATGTGTTTTGGAAGGCAATTTCACTGGAGAGGCAAAGGTTGAGTAAGTCTAGGATGTCATTTTTAGAATGTCTAAGATGTCATTTAGCATGAACTTAATAGTATAACAGAAAAGTCGCTTTAAAAAGCTGTAACGTCTATGCGGAGCAAGTTCTCTCAAAAGGCCAGTAGCATAAGTAAATTCAAAGTCATGATAACCAATAACGTATCCACTTGAATATGTACGATAGTTGCGGAGGAAATGTGCGTTGATTTCAATGGAGCCTTTGGTGTAATTATGATTCCAATCTTAACGGGTACTATGATCATGGCTTTCCTAGTGGGTATAAAGGTGTGGTGTCCTAGGGGTATAAATGTGTGGTTTGAGAAGTTGGTAGCTGAATGACGTGCTCTTTAAAATCCACTGAAATGAAAATAAAACCATAACTTCTTCAGCTCTTTTATTAGTTTACTGTATGAAATTCATAAAAACATACTTTGTTCATTTTTTCGTAAAATTCTCAAATAAACATTTACATTTATTAGTTTAAGACAGTGTTTAAAACGTTTTCTGTAGAAGGTAAAAATGTATTTACAGCTATCAAATAAGGGCATATAATTGAGATACATATTTTTAAGCTAGAGCAGCACAAACGTTGTAATATTTTTTCTTTTTAAAAGCCATTACGCCAAGCACCTATTGAAAACATTTCAAACATACTTTCGTAGCTTTTAGAAATTCTTGACGACGTGAAAGGGGCAGCTTATATTTTTTGAGAATAGAATTTAGAAAAATACTACACATTTTTTTGTAAGGAATAGTTGTGTGTCGTATTCTGAAAAAGAAAACAAGAAACAAGACGACACCATTTGTTGCTTTTTTATTCTCTGTTTAATGTAGATGAAGTGTCTTTCGAACAAGTGTTTCATATAAAACATAAACATACTGTAACGCAAGATAAGATAAAAGTGATGAAAAAATGCAGAGAAAAACAATTGTTTAAGATATTGATTATATATTGGTGGAATTAGCCAGAGACGTCGAATCCAACGTAGAGTTAAAAGCATGGTGAACTGCGTTAAAATTAAAATTTTATAAACTTAGAGTGTTAGAGCCTAACAACTTAATCATAGTGGATAATAAGTTATAGAAATTCAACAAACATGTTAGAATTAAAAAAAAACCAAAATTATAAAGAAAGTAGTAGATTTCCTTACAACCGAATCATTACACCCTATGAATGTCCTGTCTAATGATAATGACAAGAAATTGGCTTGGTCAAAGTTTGTCTAAAGATACAATCCTGTTTCCATTCAATAGGATATTTTCCTTCATCTAACGATAGATAAAAAATGTGGGTCAGGTATGGAGTGATGACAATAGCAGAATTTTTTAACAGTTTGGAAGATATTTCGTCTAATCCAGCACCCTTATTGCTTTTTAAGTTTTGATATTTTTTTGGTAAACTGCTTTATCAGAAATGGTAAGAAATTGTAATTCACAATCTAACGGATTTAAGTAATAAGAGAGATCTTTGGGAATTTATGGAAGTTTATTTGATAATTTAGGGCGATTTCTACAAAATGTTTACTCGATTGACTAGCTATCGATTTTTCATCATAAATTTTATTGCTTATTTCATCTTTGATGGTTGTAATGGTGGTAGTTATGGAACGTCAACCATTTCCACTAAGGACTTGATTTATATTTTTCCACATTTCTTTTGGATTATTTTTGTCCATTTCAATATTTTCCTTTTATTATCGAGATTTTGTATACTTAATCGACTTATTACTGTAGACTTATGTTCTGCTACAATGTTACTATCTGCAATGTGCGCCTGAGATTTGGCGTGTTTTTGTATCTTCTTGCGCAATGCTTTCCGTGCTAATGACTTTTCTCCATCCTCACGCACAGAGCATATACTCCATTCACTACTTAAGTGCATACTTTGTGAACTAGATGCTCCTATTGACCCAGCAATTTCACTTTTTTGCAAATGCTGGATCTAACACTTTAATTTTCACATACAATCGTCTTAACGGTATGTCGTCTTAAAGTTGTTGCATTGGTGTGTTTGCAAACAATTACGGTATGTACCAGGGGAAGTGACGGATGTTTTTCAAGGTTGGTTAAGCAAATTACTAGTATTGTCGGTGGAATCACTCTGACCATTGTCAGCAATATCTCTTACGCTTAAATTTTAGCCTTTCAAATTTTTTTGCGAAATTTCTACGTGACCAAACTCAGATTGACTGCCTCAACAACAGGTTGATTCACACAATTCAGTTGATTGCTTGTTTTCTTCTTGAATAAGTGCACTACTTGAGAAAAAGCTTGTTAACTTATTTTGAACCTTTTCCTCTTGGCTTGTGGTTGATCCTTATTTTCAGTTTCCATTTTTGTTCATAACAATTGTTGGAAATTGATTAATTATTATCTCAACAGAGAGAACGTCATATGTATTTATGGATTTCTACTTTTATTTAATATTGCTTGATCAACAAGTACAATTATAAAATCGCAAGATAATACTAGTTATAACATTTTTTCGTTTGTATTTAGTTAAATTTCGATACAACATAATGAGGACAAATTATACTTTCATAGTTTATACCAGTTGGTTACACGAAAAATATCTAACGAAAAATTAATAAATTCAATTCATGTAGCTACAATTCCAGAATTGATAGAATATGAAAAAAGAGTTTTATGAAAAAGTTTGACTCACTTTTAAAGCTTCATTTCAATTGTCCTCGTGCATATATTCATTACTAATGCTTCTTTTATTTACATTTAGCAAATCCTTTCTACAATTTCGCATTTCATTATGGTTGCAACAAAATTAAAATGTTTATGAGCATTTAAAAAAAATCCTTTTGATATGAAGTCAAGGCCGTCATTTCAGAAGCCCTTTATACATGTTAGATCTAAAGAATGATAGAAATAATAACTTCCTAAAACCTGAACAAATCGATGGTGTTTTTTTGCTTGATAAGGCTAATTTCAACAGCAAGAACTTCCGTGTTAGTCTAAACATAATGTGAGATAAAAGATAAAAGGTCACTTAATAAATTTTATAAAACAAGATTGCCTATGGCTATTTTGAAAACCATCCATTTGGGTTTTGTCTTTATAATGAGAATTCAGTCATTATAAAACTTTAGCCTGTTTCGACGTTTCCTTTTTTTACGTAAAGAGAAATTTGATATCGATTTAGCATGTGCTCCAGTCCCTCTAGAAGCTTTTGCTTTAACCTATTGATCTCAGTCAGGAATCATTTATGTATATATAAATATTTATTAAATATTTGATTTATACAAAAATGTCGGAAAGATTATTTTTCTATATTCTGCACCCCTGAAATAGCACTCTAGTTATTATTAATACAACTCTGTCAATTATGAAATAAATTTGTCATGAGTTTATGCCGTCTTGGCAATTGCCTCACGAAAAATCGCCTTTTTTCTCTTTTTTAAAATAACTCGCTTATTTTTGAGATATTTTAAAACAACTGTTAAAAGAGCTAAATACTTTGCTGAAAACATTGCTATTTTCAGATTATGAAGCATCATTTTGCTCATTTCAAACTATCACCAGATTTGGGGGTCATTAATGCAGGTGACAGTAAATCATCGGTTATGTTGAATTGTCATTTGAAAGTATAGCAAGCATGCCTTTATTTTTCTGTGCGCATGACATTAAAGAGTAGTCTCTTTTTGGGTAAAAAATGTGTGAAAGCACATGCCGATTTAAAGCATATAACATTATTTTTAACACAAAAATCTTTACGAATAAAGTTTTTCTGTATAGCACAGAAAAGGGGGGTGATAAAAACGCCACCTCGGAAACAAGTCTAAATAGTACATGCAAAATCACAGAGAAGGAGGAAGGGAAGGGTGGATTTTTCGATAAATTTCACCTGGCGACGGCCACCTGCTGAATGATATGTGATTTGTTTGTGCATAACCTATAAGGCTAATACCTGTGCACGTGAATCATACTACGTGCATGTGAACAAAATGCAAATAACTGTAGCCAACATCCTGTTTGCTCTTGTAGCGTCCGCAATGAACCTTGGATTCCATCACCTTAGCACGCGGAATTCTTTGAGTAAAAGTAACAAACTTTCCCAGTACTTTTTTATATGTTAAGATTGTGTCCCACCCTCTCTTTGTTTCCCCTTGATTAACATAACTCTTATTTACAATTTAAACTAAAAAATAACCCGCGGAAGCAATAAAATTATTCTTCGCTTATGCAAATAACTCCTTTTTCACCACAACAAAGTCTCTGTCAGATTAAAATATTAATGAAGAAAAGATATTTTCTTACACATCTTAATGTAATATATGCAAATTTATTAGCTAGATACTCGTGTTGTAAATTTTTTATCTTTTTTATGTTGTTGAAATTTGAGCATAGAGCTGTAAAAGACGATTCGTTTTGAAAAATAATGTATCGTGTCAATAGCATGATTTTATCATCTGACTTTTTTTCCCAGCACAAGACTTTCATGGGAAATTTGATCCCGGAATGAAAAGCTATATCAATTATAAATCTATTCGGGAGCAATTTATTTTCTTCAAGTCTTCGACTGTGTATATTTACTGAACTAGTCAATTGATTGAGGTAAGCAACTGATAATATTAATAATGATTCTATATTGTTTTTTGCCTTAAATGAATCCATCACTGTGTGCTGCAATATTTTGTCGAAAAATTTGTCACGGTTCATACATGTAGTTAACTAGGTTGTTTCTTGCTGTCGATAAAATATTTTTTCTATAGCATACGCAAATATTATGTTAAACTTAAGTAAGAAGAGTTGAATAAATTGGACAGGATGTTTGCATGTACGTAAACAATACATATACCTATTTCTGTGATCAGCTAGCAATAAATCAAATTAAGATTGCTTTTAATGTTTGATAAGAACGGGCCGAATCTTGACATTTTAATGCTTTACGTAGTTTAGTAAAAATCATTAAGGTCAGTTTAGTAAAAATCATTGTTCAGAATGTTGTACCTTGATATTTCTTTTCTATTAACTTTTATTCACCTCTTTTTTTCAGAAAATACAAAATGAGTATTTTGACCTACGTCATGATTTTGTTGGCTTTTGCTCGTTGTTCAAACACCTCGCTTGTAGATATGTTACAAGAAGCCGAAAAACCAGGTATATTTTATTTCAAGAAGGGAATGAGGAATGAAGTTATAATCTAAGTTGTAAATGTTGCGAGTTATTTACCCCTTCATGCATGTTATTAACGCAACGTACGTCTTAAGAGCTTGTTGATGTTTGTTTACCTCGTCGTAACAATGACAACTGTTTTCTAATTGTTGCTTGAGTGTGTTTACCTAGAAATTGTAATGTAACCTTTAAAGTTACTTTGTACTCTTGAAAAATTACGTCTTAAATAAAATTAATTAACGCATTTAGCACGCAAAATTACATGCTCTGCGCATTAGTAAAACCAACTAAATTATATTTTAAAAAGTAATAGCTTTAGCATTTGTTTGGTTAAAAACACTTAAGCACGAGTAGTTCGTCAACTTGTAAAGACTTAGTGCATAAAACACAGTTGTTTGAGGATTCTTGGTCAAAATTTATATACCACTAAAATTTTCATGCTATTAAAAAATGACTAAGGCAGTTTTATTTTTTGACGCACCAAGGGCTTCCTATGAGAACACCTTTATCCAAGTTTTACTATTCCATTTGCAATGCGTAGAACAAAGCCTGTTTTTAGAGAAATATGGCCTGGCCTGGCCTGTCGCATTTATAGAAGATTTAAAAAATTAGGTTGATCTATAATCATTTAATTTTTGCAAGAGGCACGTCTATTAAAATCAGAACGATACAAGTTATATCTTTTTTTTTAGTTAAAACGTTCTTGGCTTGCCATTGCAAATATGTACCTTTTCCTGGAGTTCAGCGCCATGGACGCTGTTTACGTGGCGAGAGATATTGCAAAATAATGCATCATAATACTGTTTTTTGCTGCATCAAATGAAACTAAATTTGGATATTTAATTTGTTTATTGTTTGTTTATTAAATCATATAATAATCTTTTTGTGTTCTAAGATCATATTTTGACTGTGCGTGTTTGCCTTGAAATGTGACTCTTAGCTGATACAACATGTGTTGACCATTAAGCTCTATAATAACTGGAGGGAAAAGGGCCTGTACCCCGTGGTCAAAACATGGCGGTAATGGCGGATTTTGAGTGTCAAAACTTCCACTTTAAGAAATATTTTTAACATTCGCTCCCTCCCGAATGCAGATCTCTATTCCTGCTTATATCAATGACAAACAGCGAAAACAACCACGATACCGTAAGCATAAAATATTGAAAATCATGCTTCAGGTTTTTGTGAAATAGACACACACATTTAAATGAGGTAAATCTATGGTAAAATAACGTATATTTTGTCAAGTAATGCTTTAGCTATATTAGAAATAAATATCAAACGGCATTCTTGTGCAATGTGTTGTTAAGCTTTATTGCATAATCCCATGCGCATTGCTTGTGTTTTTGACTGTTTTTTAACAGCTTCGTGCAACTGTCTTTCTTGAATAGATGGGTAAATCTTAGTTAAAACGTCCAAAAAGGAGTTAGAAAAAGTTAGCTTACCCCTACGACTTAAGTCGACTGGAAATATATTATAAGTAGGTATGTAATTTTTTTGAGTTTTTTTTTTTTGTAGGATTGATTCTCGGTGTCTTATAAGGTATTATGATATTCTGATAAATGTACTGAGAACTTATGAAGAAAATATCTTGAACTAGGAGAGCAAAAGAACGAAATTCAGAAATTCTATAATCATGTTGCCGGTTCTGTTTTGAGCCAAGATATTAGAAACTGGATTGTCATTGACAACCATGGATCTACAACTGAACAGAACTACATTAAGTTCCCATTGAAAATACGATTTCTTAAATTAAAGTGCATTGGTTTCTCTGACATAACACTTTTCTTATTAATGTTTTATACATTGCGGTGTTTAAATTTAAATGAAGATATGATCTTCGCACTTTGCTGGACAATTTGCTGGACACGAGAAAACATGAGCCCAACAATATTGACCTGCTCACCACTGTGTGACTTCATAGCTCAGTTGGTCAGAGCACTGCACCGGTCATGGGTTCGAATCCCGTTAATTCACCTGATTTTTTCAGGTCCTGAGACGATTGCTTAAAATTGTCCAGTAAAGTGCGAAGATGATATCTTCATTTAACTTTTCTTATTGCTGCATGAAGGCAAAGTTGTTTAAATAATTATAATGTAGGTGAAGATATTTAGCATGTTGTATAATTGTTATTGTACAGTCATTATTTATAATATTATGGCCTTGTGTAATGTATGTCAAGAAGAACATATTAATTCTCAAAAATGCCAACCTTTTTGCACTACTTTTCTCTTGTGTCCTTACAAATTACAGTTACCTATACTAATTTTTTCTAGGTTGAAACAACTTGACAAACTTTTGAATTTTACATTATGCATTTGAATTTTTCTTTTTGTCTTTTGGTAAAAATATCAGTGAATGGCTTAAAAATGAAGTTTTCTAAAATAGTATTTTGTACAAAGAAACTATACATAATTGGAAATGTCTTATGTTGAAGACAAATGGCGCTTCTTTTACTAGATTGCTATTCTTATTCTTTTAAATAATATCGTATTCCTTCATAAGACATAAAAAGTTCTTTGCCATCAATTTTTGCTGCTTCCACATCCAACTTCATTGCAACCAATGCATCTTATGTGAATTTTTAATCACCTGGAATTGAAAAACGTTTGGATTATGTCAGATGATGCAATACTATATTTAATGTTTCATGCATGTCATTATAAGCTTTTCTTGAGGAAAAATTTCAAGGTAGGAGCATAATTTGGCACATTGAACAAAGCAGCTTTTAACTTGATTTTGATGTACTAACCTGCTTACTACACTGTATAACAAACAATTCATTTACAGAAACACCAGATGGCATTTAAAACTGTTAGCATAAAGCAAACTTTTACACACCATCATCATGATTGTCCATAATCTGTCAAATTGTTCAGGCTAGCTGTGTAAGACAGGTATTTTTTATTTAACGAAACAGAGACTTTGTCGTGGTGACAAACTTAAAGATAGATTTCAAAATAGCAAATACCATGGTGAATGGTGATAATAACAATGTAATAGTTCTTAAAAGAACAGTTTTAACCAAAATACTAAGCAAACAATTCAAAGGAACCGTTATTTACAGTTAGAAAGAGACACTATGCATTTCGGCAAACTACTCATCAGGTGTCAACGTCTGCTAAATGAGATTACGTGTTTATCTGTCTCTGTTTTAAGTGTCATCTCTAAAAATAGGGATGACATTGACCTTTTCTAACGTTATAAATATAGCATGGTTTGGAGGTTCTCATTTAGCAGACGTTTACACCTGATGAGTGAAAGAACGAACTGATTATAAGAAACAGTTTCAAGGAGTTTTTCACAATTGCAAGAAAAGGTACACTTTGCCAGAGACGGTCTACAACGTTATAGAAGAGGGAATAAAGAATAATATGGTGATAAAAATAAGGGATCGGTCAACTGTGCAGAGAAAGATTAACCTGATCTTGATCAAGAAGCTTTAATTACATGTGACTGTGAATACAATGTCCACTGGATCATACACTCTGATGCTACTCAGCACATGACATACCAAAAGAAATGTAGATATGATTATGTGGATTTCAAGAAACGATGCATTGTAACCCTGGGTGATGTTCAAACCATATAAGTGTATGGAAAAGGATCATACAATTTTTGGCAGAACTCAGTGGTCGTAACTAAAATACTATTATTCTGGAAGTAGTGCAACTTCCAGAATAAGAAAAAAAAAACTTGTTATATGTAAGAGCAATGACAAGATTGGGAGCTTTAGTAAAGTTTCACGGAGATGAATGCGCAATCTTTAGAAATGGAAAGTTGTTGGCAAAAGTTGAAAAATGTGGAAAATTTTTTGTTTTGAAAACTTTTGGTGACGAGCAAGTCAATGTTGCAAAGAAAGTGTTTCAGGGAATATTATGGCAATGTCGGTTTGAGCATTTAGGATATGATAGCGTTGCAAAACTTGTTATGGATGATATAGTTAAGAGAATGAATAATTTCCCAGAAGATGAAACCAAGTCTGTTTGTGAATCATGTGTTATGGAAAAGCAACATAAAACTCCCTATCCAAAGAACGTCCCTCTCCGAGCAGAGAGGTCATTCAAAATTGTTCACAGATATGTGTGCGGTCCACTGGAGATACCATCTCTTGGAAAATCTTTATATTTTGTAACATTTATTGATGATTTTTCCAGATATAAACATGTATATTTCATCAAACAGAAAAGCCAAGTCCTGAAAAAGTTTAAGGAATTTGTAAACTATGCTGAGAATTCTGGAAAGCAGGTAAATATCTTGCGAACTGACAATAAAATTGAATAATGTTCTATAGAGTTCAATTCATACTTGAAAGAAAGAAGGCATAACACATCAAACCACTGTCCCCCACAATCCAGCACAAAATGGGGAGGCTGAACGGATGAACAGGACACTATTAGAAACCATTCGCTCGATGATGGCTCATGCAGAAATTCCTACTGAATTCTGTGCTGAGGCTGTGAGTACAGCAACCTATATAAGAAATCGAAGTCCTACTACTGCTAGAAAAGAGATAACACCATTGGAATGTTTCTTTGAATACAAGCCACATGTATCAAACATGAAGGTATTTGGTCGCTTAGTTAAGCCCATATTCCTATTATTAAACGAAAGAAGTTAGAGGCTAAATCATCAAAATGTATATTTGTGGGATGCCCTGAAGGTACAAAAGGATTCAAATTGTACAATCCAAAAACAAAGTCATTCATCAAGAGCTGAAATGTAATATTTAAACAATGGAGGTTTTACAACTTTGACAGTAAAAATACATTAATGGAAATACATTAATATAACTCATGCTAACTGATAATGGCAACGTAGAAAACGATGATCTTGCTTTAAGAGAGGGTAATATTTTTCATCCTGAATATAATAATACAGTGGGAGAAACTTATTAAGTAAGTTTTATGCAACAAGTTAAGAATCTATATTGGAAAAGAGAACGAAGACCCCCCGTTAGATTCCATGAAGAATTATATGTTGCAGATTATCTCACTGCATTAATGAATCCAGAAACATAAAGGATGCATGGTCATGTGATCAGGAAAAAGGAATAGATTAAAGCCACTGATGCTGAGGTATTCTCGCCTGTGAGACTTTAATGAGGACTTTACTTGCTCTAGCTAACTCTCTGGATTGGGAAGTTAATCACATAAACGTAAAGTCAGCGTTTCTATAAGGAGATCTCAATGAAGAGATTTACATACGTCAGCCAGATGGGTATGTTGATAAAGATAATTCTACTCATGTGTGCAAACTGAAAAGAGTTTGTATGGCTTAAAAAAAAGCGGCTCGATGCTGGAATTCCGCTGTACACCATTACTTGAAGACAACTGGATATAAACAAGACGATTCAGACCAATGTTTGTATGTTAAATCGATCGAGGCAAAGGATGGAAGAATGAATTTTGTGGTCCTGTCCATGGAGATGACATTTTACTTTTCTCTAACAATATTGACATGTTAAACAAAGGAAAGTTATTAATTGGCAAACGATTTAAAGTTCAAAGCTTGGGTGAAGTGAACTATGTTCTTGGTATGATAGTTAAACGTGACCGGAAATCATGAAAGCTTACCATTATGATGTGAAGTTCTGCCATATAGACCAAATGTTATCTGAAATTATGTCCAAAAGTCTATCCAAGGGAAAATTTATAAATTTCAGAGACATTAAGATAAATTCAAGACAATTGGGAGTTTATGAAATCAATGAACTTTAGTCTTGTTTAACAATAATATCCAAGTAGGAGTGTTAGGAATGAGAATACATTATATAAGTATTAAACTAAGTATTAGATATCTGATCATAATACTAGTCACATGACCTGGAAAGCACTCCTTATAGTATGCTAATTGCTATTTAATCTTTTTATTATACTTTGCTCAATACCGCATGGCTTTGGAGAACACTTATTTTGTTTTATTACATATATCTTGTCTTTTCTGCACAGTTGAATAAAAATTAACATGTACGTAAAATTTTGTTTTTTTTAACACCTTTATATTTCATCTTAAAGTTTGGCAGTCACTTTGTTAAGCTATCTATGATACGTGTGCTATCTAATGACTAATATTTCTGGTAATGTTGTCAAAAAATTTGTCACGATTCATACATGTATTTAAGATAGGTTGCTTCTTGCTGTCGATAAAATATATTTTACATAGCATGCGCAAATATAATGTTAAACTTAAGTAAGAAGAGTTGACTAAATTGGACAGGATGCTTGCATGTATGTAAACAATATATATACCTATTTCTGTGATCAGCTAGCAATAAATCAAATTAAGATTGCTTTTAATGTTTGATAAGAACGGGCCGAATCTTGACATTTTAATGCTTTACGTAGTTTAAAAAAAATCATTAAGGTCAGTTTAGTAAAAATCATTGCTCAGAATGTTGTACCTTGATATTTCTTTTCTATTAACTTTTATTCACCTCTTTTTTTCAGAAAATACAAAATGAGTATTTTGACCTACGTCATTATTTTGTTGGCTTTTGCTCGTTGTTCAAACACCTCGCTTGTAGATATGTTACAAGAAGCCGAAAAACCAGGTATATTTTATTTCAAGAAGGGAATGAGGAATGAAGTTATAATCTAAGTTGTAAATGTTGCGAGTTATTTACCCCTTCATGCATGTTATTAACGCAACGTACGTCTTCAGAGCTTGTTGATGTTTGTTTACCTCGTCGTAACAATGACAACTGTTTTCTGATTGTTGCTTGAGTGTGTTTACCTAGAAATTGTAATGTAACCTTCAAAGTTACTTTGTACTCTTGAAAAATTACGTCTTAAATAAAATTAACTAACGCATTTAGCACGCAAAATTACATGCTCTGCGCATTAGTAAAACCGACTATATTATATTTTCAAAAGTAATAGCTTTAGCATTTGTTTGGTTAAAAACACTTAAGCACGACTAGTTCGTCAACTTGTAAAGACTTAGTGCATAAAACACAGTTGTTTGAGGATTCTTGGTCAAATTTTATATACCACTAAAATTTTCATGCTATTAAAAAATGACTAAGGCAGTTTTATTTTTTGACGCACCAAGGGCTTCCTATGAGAACACCTTTATCCAAGTTTTACTATTCCATTTGCAATGCGTAGAACAAAGCCTGTTTTTAGAGAAATATGGCCTGGCCTGGCCTGTCGCATTTATAGAAGATTTAAAAAATTAGGTTGATCTATAATCATTTTATTTTTGCAAGAGGCACGTCTATTAAAATCAGAACGATACAAGTTATATCTTTTTTTTTAGTTAAAATGTTCTTGGATTGCTATTGCAAATATGTACCTTTTCCTGGAGTTCAGCGCCATGGACGCCGTTTACGTGGCGAGAGATATTGCAAAGTAATGCATCATAATACTGTTTTGTGCTGAATCAAATGAAACTAAATTTGGATATATAATTTGCTTATTGTTTGTTTGTTAAATCATATAATATTATTTTTGTATTCTAAGATCTTATTTTGACTGTGCGTGTTTGCCTTGAAATGTCACTCTTAGCTGATACAACATGTGTTGACATAAGTACAAACACTGTTGGAGACTTCCTTCTTCATGGCGTACAATTCTTTAGGCATCTCTCATGAGTGGTAGTCTGGGGAGTCAGGTGAGAAGGTGGCTGGAAGTCACATCACGTGAGTTCAGCTTCGATACGCGTGATTGGAAACAAAGTGTACAAAGTTAATATGTTACAGATAAGAAAATTACAGGATTTTTTCCGTTTCACAGCCATTTTTGTGTTATTACTTAAGGAAATTGAAACAAATGGCAAAGGTTTATGCTCGAATTCATTCTGCGTGAGTGAGAAGAAACTTCAATGTTTTTCGTAAAAAAGCTTTTTGGAACAAAGATTTTTTCATGTCAGTGTCATATATGGTCAAACATCTTCCGAGAAATGTCAACACAATCAACAGCAGGTTTGCAAAATCTCAAAAAAAAGATCGCAATTGTGGCAGTTTACTGAGTTAATTTTTTAAAGAGACGATTGTTTCTATAATTTATTACAGCAATGTATGGCTATAAATGTGCAAGACAAATTCACATCTTTCTGGAACAATTTTTCATTACCAGAGGTATGAGGAATTTGGCGCCATACATATAATATATTAATCCTAACACGGTTTTTGTCGCCATACATTTTGCCACATGCTTTTCGATTGTGTGTTTAATGTCAGTATCATATATGGCTAAACATTTTCAGAGAAATATCAACAAAATCAACAGCCGCTTTGCAAAATGTCAAATACAATTGCATTTGTGGCCGTTTAATAATTTATTTTTTTACAAAAACGTCTGTTTCCATAATGTATTACAGTCAAACTAGAGCTATAAATGAGCTTCACAAATTCACATCTTTCTGGAAAATTTTTTTATTATCAGAAGTATGAGGCATTTGGAGCCAAACATTTTGTCAGTGGTGTGTGCTGAGTATTTGCATTCTAATACATAATGAATTTTTGAATTTTGCAGAATGAAACATTTAAAAATATGAAATTAAATTATTTACAGCAAGATAAAATAATTCACATGACTTACTACACAGCATAAAGAAAAATAGCTTATCAAGCAAACTTTGCTGTGTGCTTTTCATTGACAAACGTAAGCTTAAAAAAGATGACAATTTCTCAGTGTTTTATTGCTTCAAATAAGCGTAATTACAAGCAACTGGGAACCTGTTGGTTTTCTCCGAACTTAACTTGATTTAAATTTTTTAACACTTTTAACATTTATTTTCGTTGCAATCTAGATTGCAACGAGTTTGGAACTCCAAACTCTTAAATATCCTTAGAGAAGTTACGACGTTTTACGTAAGATAAGACCTAAATGAGTATAAACTGTATGGTGTGACTTACGTGAAATAACTAGAAAAATGAATTGGGCATCGAACCTTTCTTGTACATGGCGTTGTTGAAATGGAGATATGCAGACGTGAAACTCTTGATGAATGTGCTGTTAAGAATGACGATACTTTATATGTGTATTAAACTAAGTATTAGATATCTAAATGGGGCGAGTGGGCTGAATGGTTAATGGCGTGAGCTGTAAGCCAGAAGGCGCGGGTTCAATCCCAGTTCGTGTCACATCTGGCAATGTGTCTGTAAACCTAGCCCGGGTTGACCAAAGCCATGTGAGGGAAATTTGGTAGAGGAAACTATGTCCTCGGATGGACTGTACCTGTATCTGCAATGTTGCAGCCTTGTCACACTGTGTCACGCTGATATCAGCGTTGTGGTTGCGTGAAGGGTACGAGTGATTGCAGTCTGGTCAGCTGCCTTCACTATAATTTCAGTAACCAGGATGTTCCGCTTCGCGGAACCCTCATCGTTGAAATCGACGGAGTCCCTTATATATATATATATATATATATATATATAGATATCTAATCATTGTACTAGTCACATGATCTGGTAAGCGTTGCTTATTGTATGCTAATTGCTATTTAATCTTTTTATTATGTTTTGCTCAATACCGCATGGCTTTGGAGAACACTTATTATGTTTTATTACATATATCTTGTTTTTCCTGCACAGTTGAATAAAAAATTAACATGTACGTAAAATCTTTGTTTTTTTTTTAACACCTTTATACTTCATCTTAAAATATGGCAGTCACTTTGTTAAGCTATCTATGATACGTGTGCCATCTAATGACTAATATTTCGGGTAATGTTTCATTATTATAGCATTTTTCGCGTTTTTTTTCAAAACCACTGGAATATTTTATTTTTGTCGTGTTTATCTTATGCAAGGAAAGGCTATAAACGATATTGCTGACTTTGGCCTCATGTAGTCTATTCGTGAATTAAATAAATGGCAGAAAGAATGACTGTAGTTTTTTTGTAAATCAATAAATTTAATTTGTAAAGTGAAATTTATGTTGAGTAATTGGCAGTGGTGTAGCCAGCCTGCAAGTTTTAGTCTCGCTATGTAAATTTTAGATCATAAGCACTATTCATTTCTTTAGAGATCTGTTGTTTTTACTGTGGTTGAACACAAAAATTTAACATAGCAGGACCAAAATTGCGTGCTGGCTACGCTACTGGTAACTGGTCAAATTAACTAAACGACATCTCTTACATATCATTTAAGTCTTTGCATCAAACTTGAGTTAATGTAGCATTGATTTCTAAAATTGTTTTTGGTTCAAGATAACATGGGATTTGTCGTTAAATTTTGTGAGAAATCTGAAGGATTAAACTTTAAGTAAAGTAAGCACGTGAGAACAGTCACGCTGCAAGCAATTATAGCAAGTGTTTAAAACAAATGCAAAGATAGTTATATGATTGAACAGTGAGCACAAAGAATATTTTTAAATCTCTAACAAATAATTCTCTACATTTATAATATGATTTGAACCATAGTTATTAATACTTACAGGCTATCCACATATACGTTATGTGTACATATTTTTTCTTAAATAAGTTGGACCATGCTCAAAATTAGGACTTACATTTTTAGCAATATTTTGAAACTGATAGTATCAGGGAAAATTAAGTATTGTTGTCTCTGTATATTTCATGTACAATCACTATCTAAATCTCGCTGTACATTTTAATAACATACAAACGTTGCAACAGCAGTTACAGGAAATATTTTGTAAGATCTGTAAAAATTGAGAATAAATCTTTAAGGAAGAACATTCATCAGACATTTTGCTTACATAATGCATTCGTACTTTCTCATGAAGGTTAATATACTGATAACCATCTTAAGCACATTCTACGCCAGCATCTTCATGATGTCCACAGTTATGATTACCCCATCCAGCATGAAAACAATTTGAAATTGACGACACATGACCTCTACAATCAACATCATCTAACCATATTTTGCCATTACCATCAGGAACATCACTACCTTGCAGAGCTTTGAAAGCCTTTTTGTAGCCAAGTTGACGACATATTACGTCAGCATCTTTTAAATCCCATCCATCATCACATATTGTTCCCCATTGTCCACTGTAAAAAACTTCCACACGACCAAATCCAACAGAACTCTTCGCTCCTTCAATTCTCACTGCATGTTTTGAATCTTTTAAAAGAGAATAACATTTTGCTGAGATAGTTGATAAAATCAACTCCAAATTGAGCAAAACAATTCAGAATGTCAATTTTTTTGATTTATGTTCCTGCAGCAACTTGTTATTAACGGTGGAGTATTCAGTAACTTATGCAAGCCAGAAACTTAACCAGCGAGTTAATTTGGAATAACTTTATTTTGAAACACACTGTTTATAATCATTTTACGCCTACTAGATTATTTCTTGTGGTACCCTGTTTGCAGGTTGCCATTATTAGAATTTTTGTACATTTTATATCAAATTGATATGTGACTTCAATTAAATATTTTAAAAGCTTTTTATAAACGTTTTTCGTGCGTTAAATAAATGTAATTTGACATTTTTTCATCCAATGCATTGTATACCTGTTTTTTGGATTAGTGCCTAAGCGTGATTTCTTTCGATGGTCACTCATAAATGTAAGAGATTGCACTATTTTACAAATAAAACCGGGAATAACTTTCATTTGGCTGGATACATTGGGCTAGAAAGCCAACAAATCTGATCTTGCTATGTATATTTTTTTCTCTTCACCATACGTATTTGCGAAAACCATCAACTGCTATTGACAGGAACGTTAATGGTGAGCTGAAAAATTCTTTGCAGATAAGAAATTTTTTGGTTTGGCTAAAATACTGCATACTAACCTACATGTCTCTTATAGATATTTATTTAATTTCGTTGGGAATTAGCTCTTTAGCATTTACCTTTAGAGCAATTGACACCAGCATCTTCATCATGTACACAGTTATGTTTTCCCCATCCATAGTTAGAGCAATTTGAAATATACAACTCGTGACCTTTGCAATAAACATTATCTAACCATATTTTTCCATTGCCATCAGGAACATCACTACCTTGCAGAGCTTTCAAAGCACTTTTATAACCAAGTTGACGACATACTACTTTGGCATCATTTAAATCCCATTCATCATCGCATACTGTTCCCCATTCCCCTGTGTACAATACTTCCACACGACCCACTCCATCATGAGACTTTGGTCCTTGGAGCCTGACGGAAGGTCTTTGAACTTTTAAAGTAAAAATTTTGTTATTTTTGAAATCAAGCCGGGACGTTGTCAACGATTGATGTTGAAAAAAGTTGGTTTTTACGTTATTTGTGTGGATTTAATCTGCTCATGCTTTTCTCAAAAAGATCAAACAGGCGATATCAAGTTCTTCGTCACTAATAAAACGTGATTTCATGTGTTTTCCATTCCCATCAAAATAAAATTTTGACTAAGATTTTTGCTCATTTTTATCTGTACCTATTATTTTCAAATATTCAATATATGATAATTTGGTACATTTATTGACGACACAAAGCTTAATGCTGTTCAAAATTCTGATGGAAAAGCTGGAAAAAATGTTTTAAAAGGCTTAACTTGAGTAAGTCTGTGACAAAAACGCTTTGTAAGTGTGCACCTCTATTTTGTATTAAGGCCCGTTTCATACGTCGTACTTAAAATGTCAAACTCAAAATTAATTAACATTTTGAGTGTGTGAAAGGGGCCATGGTACGAGTATTTAGTTTTTCTACATGTTTTTAAACTTTTAAACTCAAATAAAGCAAGTCCCAAATAAGGTTTGCAAGCTATATCGAGGATAAGATTTATGTTGGCCTCAATGTTAAGAAAATTAAGAAGATTGGTAATCGCCGTATTTTCCTAGTACTAAGCTGCCACTGTCTATCAGCTAAAAGGTTAGCCTACTTCATAGACCTCAATTTCTGGAATGATCTATGAAATATTTAAGAAAATTTTACCCTGCGTACGTCACATAGTTTGAGCTACTTAATAAATTATGCAGCTGTCATCAAAATGAATTCAACTTGTAATTTAATATTTACAGTGTCTGACGTGAGGAGTGGGACTGTTTGTTTGAATGAAATAAAATATAAAGAGGCATTGAAGCTTGCTTGTTACTTTCTGCAAATTGAACGGTTTTATAAAGATGAAGAGAAAGCATTAAAAACAATATATATACAAAGCAAAAAATTTTTGAATACAGCTGTATAATATGTGCGATAGCTCAAACATGTGTAACGTACGAAAGGTAAATTTTTTTTCAATATTACATAAATCCTACAAGCAGTTAGTGCCTATGATCTATAGGCAAAACTTTAGCTCGTAGACAGCGCTAAATACGTACTACGCAAATACGTTAACAAATACAGTGATTATCAATCTTTTTGAAATTTATAACATTCTTAACCTTGAAAATCTTCGGAATAGTTGACAATAGAGCCAGCGTTAGCACAAAGCGTCCTAGTTTTAACTCAAGTTATTTCAATTTCTGAATTTTTCATTTCCACGAAAAACACTAAGTGTTTATAGTGATTTCATTTTACTTTAAGAGCCCTCACATTTTGCTTAAAAGTACGCGTTTGCACAATTAAAAATTTCTTCAATATATCAGAGTTACTGGTGGTAAAACGTAGGAAGAGACATATTATTACGCGTCAACTTGAACTTTAATTTTTAAAAGAATCGTTCTTGGTTCATTGGAAACAATCAAATAAATATTTTACTTTATGCGAGTTAGACTTAATTTAATTTCCTTACTTGATATATGGTGAGCACTGATGAAAAATCTCTAAAAAATTATGACACATAAAACAATGGTTGTTGCTAGACTCCGCCTAAATGTTTACGCGATGGCTGTCTAATTTACGAACTCGTGTGAATTTTCAACTCGTCTTACAAACAGATGCTTTATTAACAAATGAATGCTGCAATATTTACCTTTAGAACAATTGACACCAGCATCTTCATGATGTCCACAGTTATGTTTTCCCCATCCATTGTTAGAGCAATTTGATATATATAACTCATGACCTTTGCAATAAACATTATCTAGCCATATTTTCCCACTACCATTAGGAACATCACTACCTTGCAGAGCTTTGAAAGCACTTTTATAACCAAGTTGACGACATATTACGTCAGCATTTTTTAAATCCCATCCATCGTCACATATTGTTCCCCATTGTCCACTGTAAAATACTTCCACCCGACCAAATCCCTCAGAAGACTTTGATCCTTGAAGCCTGACAGCATATAGTTTATCTTTGAAAAATAAAATATGTTGTTTATCTTGAATGAAGCAAGTTCACTTCAATGATATCCAGAAAAATTTAAATATTAATAACATTTAAATTTTCGTTTGAATAATTTATCAATTTACAATACAGACGGTACGAATTTTGGTAATTAATTTCAATTAAGAAAAATAAACCAACTATGAAAGTATGCAAGAATGCATTGAGAAACTTAAAAAAATCTTGTCATAATGTCCCTCATGTTACTCTTAAAACGCTAGCAGAAGTGAGATGAAGACTTCCGCAAGAATTAAAATATATTTGTATGTCTTACTCGTAAACATTTATATATATTAGCATGGATGTAGATTTTTACTCTGATCAGCTGACATGCATTTGCAGTATTTAAAGCAATCATTCATCACAATTATACAAACAGCAATTGTGAATACTAAAGTCTAAAAATGTCATAAAAGTACACGTCCCTTAAAGAACCTATGTACAAAAGGTCATGGATAAAATAAATAAACATGTGAAAATACGGTTATTTGATTTTTAATGCAAAACTCCTGCCTCCTGTAACCTCTTAGTGATGTTGATTTAGCGCAATTAACAACAAAGATATGATAATTTTTCCTTTAATAACTGGCCCTTAACTATTATCAGGGTTTTTTCTTATTAGTAAATCATCAGATTTTTTCCAGTATTAAAGGAAGATTAATATCGCGGGGGTGAGAGTACTAATATTATTTACGCATCTTCTACTATAATAGTTTCTATTTTAATCAACTTCTTTTATGAATTATACAATATTGATGTATGAATGTGAGCCATCCTACTTATGAAATTTTCGGCCATCAACATTTTTTTAAGTGATTAAGTGATTTACTGATTTTGAAAAAAAATTAACGCTGGCTCATAAATGATTCTTATCTATTTCAATGCCACTTAAAGTTACGTAACTATTGCATTAAATTTAAAAAAATACTGTCAGGGGAATAAAGTCATAAAAATTTTGTGCTGATTTATTCGTCATTCAAATTGACTAGTTTAGAAAACGGAGTAATGTTTAATGTTTAAGTCGTTACCGTAGCTCAGTATGTTGCTCAATTGATGAAATTTTACAATTTACATAATTTTCTGTATATTTTATGCTTATTTGCCTATTTGAAGGTAATAAAAATATCAAAGGTAATAAAAAATAACAGTTCATATGCAATTAATGTTTGTGATAAAGTCATTTCTTATATGTGCTATACTTTGTTGAAAAATTCAAGCAAATTTTCATTGAAATAAACTTCTTAAAAATAAAATACTTTTGTCAGTTTAATAAAGTAAGTGGAACCTGATAGCTCTAAATCAAAATTTGAGTGAAGAATTTTTAAATAAAATTAATATTAAAGTATGGTTGATAAAATATCTAAAATACATTTTATTGCATTTTCTTAAATATAAATTTTTAATGTTGACTGTGAAAAAACCCCTGAATCTAACGCAATAAATTCATTTATGATTAACTAAGGAGGCTTAAAGTGGCGAATTTATCGATTTTGAAAGAATTATCGCAGGAAACATTTATTTAAATAAGGCAAAATCTTACACATTTTGACGAAGCATTTCTCTCCAGTGAAGCCAGGAGGACATTTACATTTATAAGGATCAGTGCCAGGTCCATTGCTCAAATCAACAATCGTCGTTCCACCATTTCCACACATGTTTTCTTTGATACTTGGTATCTTAATGAGTTCAATACTTTTTAAACTATCTTAGAAAAACTAAGTATATTGGTGGTTTAAAGCCTTACAAATTTATAACTTATACCTTTCTTTGGGGATTCAACAATTTATAAAAGCTCCACACATTATTACTGCAAGGTTCATGGTTCTGTGGAAGTGTATGTGTAAGCTGACAGTTTACATCTCCTATCCCTTTGTCTTCGCGAAAGTTGATTCCTTCACAGTATGGATCTTGTAAACATTTCATTGAACAAGAAAGTCGAGAGGGGTACGTTGTTTCAAACACGATATCTTTTATGAGCAGACATGTCTCTGAAAAATTACAAAAGAGTGTTGATTCAAGAAGTCGAAGAGAAGTTATCAAATAAGGTTAATATATTTCGAAAATCTGGACGTTGAAGTAGGGAAGGTGATGAAATGAGTTAAACATGTCACTAAAAGAGAGAAATTGAGTGAAACATCTAATGATAAAAATATAACTTTTTATGACACAGAACCGTAGTTATGCATCGGCGCAAAATCATCGAGCACAAGTTCTCAAAGGGAATTGTGCTTAGAAAATATGCACGCAATACTATCCTAGTGTTATCCATTCTTGTAGTAGTCAAAAAACATTATTGCAAATTTGCTACATGCAATAGAGCTTTGTCGTATGTAAAAATGATCTCATTCATTTATGGCAATTAAAGACTATTCTGCTTAGTCCAGGGGTATTCCTCAAAAACTTACAATGTGTGGCAATTAACTCTCTTACAGTAATACGAAATAAATAAATGTGATTTTGAGCCTCCAACTCCATTTTTATGCTTCATTCCTTCAAAAGAGTTTATAGTGTTCAACATTTATCTTTCAAAACAAAATCAATGAACGTCAATTAGGTCTTATGAAGCCAACCATCAGACCTTATAAGGTCCGATTTGTGCATTTTAATTTACTTTATGGACCATTCCAAACAAATATGTGACGTTTTGATGTCTAGGGATATTTTGTAGCATCATTCGTCACTGTCGTCACATTTTTGCGGGAAGTATCGGATTAGTCTGTCTACTTAAATTAGTTTTCACTCGACAATTAACATGAATTGATTTATTGCTAAATTGATTTATGTCCGTTACACTTAAAAATTGATTTTAATACCTCTCAATATGATTCTGATTTTTTCTTCGAAGGATTTATCAAAAATCTTTTATTGTGATATAATATAAAGTGAAATTTTTAAAGTGCTTAATTCTTAATGTTTTATAACTATGCTCTTCTTGTATTGATTCAATTTTTTCGGCGTTTCCTCGTAAATCTCAACTCTTTAATCGTTCAGGGTAGATCACCAATTTAAGGCATATTGTCATTATTTTTCATTCACGTGACATGATTTCAATGTAAATGTCAAAAATTTTATGAGTTATTAAGCTTTTTTGAATGGATGTTACGTTGAATAAACCGTTCTTATATTTAATATCGTGTTTCGGTGTGTATTACTAGAGAGCTTAAGCAACAACGTTTCATCCGACAACGGCGTCGTGAGAGATCGCGGAAGACTGGGACGAGCATGACGTTGCCGCTTATATTTAAAACAGTTAAGCAAAGTTCGTAATAGAAAGCGGCGGTAGAAAGTGAACTCTTTTTCATCTCTTCGTTTAAAACAATACGAAACTTTTGTCTCGTGCTTTTTGAAGAAGGTTACATTATAGAATATGAATTGATCATATTGTACAAGGCATATAAATCAAGGAACCCAGAGCTTCCATTCAAAAATTATGAGCCATTTTGTTTAGATAATCTAAGTGAGGATGAATGTAAAGTAGAATTCCGAGCCAACAAACACGATTTGATTTTCCTCCAACAAAATCTTAGAATCCCTGAAATAGTCAAGTGTCCACAAAGGACAACATGTTCAGGACTGGAGGGGCTATGCATTCTTTTAAATCGTCTTGCTTACCCTTGTCGATTTTCAGACATGATTGGCAGATTTGGGCGACCAGTTCCTGAGTTGTGTATGATTGCAAATACCATCATTGACTTTATTTTTAATTATCATAAGCAAAAAATTACAGAATGGAACCATGATCTTTTAAGCCCAGAAAATCTACAGGTTTATGCCAATGCCATCCATGGATTTATTGATGGAACGGTCAGACCAATTTCACGGCCAACAAAACATCAGCGAATTGTTTACAATGGCCATAAAAGAGTTCACTCTTTGAAGTTCCAGGGTGTGGCATTGCCAAATTGTTTGATTGCACATATTTTTGGTCCAGTTGGTATGCTTATATTATTTAAATGAAAATATTATTGTACACACTATATTGTACAAGCAAAAACAGTCTATAACTCAGGCAAATATTTTCTATATTACAGAAGGAAAAAAACATGATGCTGGTATGCTGGCAGACTCAAACTTCCTTCAAGACCTGGAACAAAATGCTTTTTCTGTGGATGGGAGACCATTATGCATATATGGGGATCCAGCTTATCCACAGAGGATTCATCTACAAGCTCCTTTTCGGCATGGGGTAATCACAGACAGAATGAAAGAATTCAACAAGCAAATGAGTTCAGTTAGAGTGTCTGTGGAATGGTTATTTGGAGATGTTATCAACTCATTCCGGTTCATGGACTTAAAAAAAAACTTAAAATAGGTCTAAGTAGTGTTGGAAAAGCATATATTGTCTGTGCATTGTTAAGAAATTCACTCACTTGCATGTATGGAATATAACATCCAAGTTTTTTCAGTTAGATCCTCCAACCTTGGAGAATTACTTAATGAATGCCAAAATGACTCATTATTAAACACACAAACAATTAGCAAGTATATAACTTGTTATGTAAATACTGACAAGTGTAAGTGAGAAAGTTCTTATAATTCAAATAACAAAACATTAAAAGTTCATAGTTACACAGATTGCTAAAACACAACAGTTAAGAATTCTTTCCTTGTAAGTGGCAACACAATCTTACTTGGTTGTGAACCTCTGAATAATGTCAAGAAATGCTGTTGACAATTGCTGTTGTTGCTGAAGAAGTAAAGCTTGGCTCTCCATCATTTTAGATTTTGTTGTTGCATCATTTTAAGACTTCTGTTTGTTGTGTAGCTGCTTGGGTACTCAATTGATTTTGTATTTCTTGCTCATTTCGCTTTACTTCTAATTCTGCACGACGGATTTCAATTTCTTGTTTGATCTTTCTCTCAAATATTCGACTAATTCACAACTTCCGCGGCGTACTTTCTTAAGCTTAACATCTGAGTTTTGCCCATCAGATTTTCTCTTGCTTGTTTCGCCCATTCGTTCCAAGGCTGTCATCCTTATATCAATAGCATTTGCATTTTCCTTTTGCTTTTGAACTGATGCTACCTCAAGGAGGCTGCCCTCTTTTTGGCCCAACACTTCAATCAAACTTTCTTTCTCCGATAGTTCGTCGACATCAATGCCACTTGCCCTTTCTTCTTCGCGCATCTTCTGCTTGAACTTAGCTTTTAAAAGACTCCACCGGTCTCGAACACTTCTCTTGTCTTTTAAAGTAAAAACTGGCGTTTCCTTTTTATTTAAGTTTTCGACAATAGAATCCCATACTAGAGAGTTTACGTTCCACTGTTTTTCGCGACGGCGACGTCTTGTGTTTCACAACGCCGGCGCAAGCGTATTTTTTGTTTACGCAAATTTACAACGTCGCTTCAGCGGAAAAATAATTGGCGGGAATATAAAACATTGCTTTCAAAAAAATTCAAAAACAAAAAATGCAAAAGTGGAAAGCAATTCGAGAGCGTCTTTTAATGTCTTATTCGGATCAAAAAATCGACGACGAAGACTTTATTTTGCTTTTCAACTTATATACTGCTAAAAGTCCGGATTTGCCTTATTGGAAATACGAAGAGTTTGATTTAGATAAATTAAGCGACGACGAGTGTAAAGCAGAATTTCGGTTTATGAAATCACACATTTATACTCTTGTGCATGCTTTGAGGCTACCACAATTTATTACGTGTTATAACGGCCTTAAGGATGATAGAGTTGAGGCATTGTGCATATTTTTGAAACGTTTTGCCTACCGTTGTCGATACCTGGATATGTTGCCAAGATTTGGTAGACCAGTCCCTCAACTCTGTATGATCAGTAATGCTGTCATAAACTTTTTATACATGGAGTGTAACCGTTTGCTGTTAACATTTGATCAACCATGGTTATCTTCAGGCAACATTCATGAATTTTGTAGTGCAGTGTTTCAGAAGAGTGGTGCCTTAGAAAATTGTTTTGGTTTTGTCGATGGGACAGTACGTCCAATTTCTAAACCTGGTCAAAATCAAAGAGTTCTTTATAATGGCCATAAAAGAGTTCATGGCATAAAATTTCAGTCAGTTGCTGTTCCAAATGGTCTTGTGGCTAATCTCTTTGGTCCTGTGGAGGGTAGACGCCATGACAGCGCAATGCTTTCCCAATCCAGTTTATATAACAAGCTTCAGAAGCTGGATCATTTGAACAACGAAACTCCTGTTTGCATTTATGGTGACCTTGCTTATCCTCATCGACCTCAACTACAATGCCCATTTAAAGGAGCAAGAATAACTCCTAAACAACAACAATGGAACAAAGCAATGGGCAGTGTAAGAGTGTCTGTCGAATGGATTTTTGGGGACATAGTTAATTATTTTAAATTTCTTGACTTCGAAAAGAACCTAAAAATACAACTTAGTGCAGTAGGGAAAATATACACTTGTTATACCTTACTTCATAATGCAAGATGCTGTTTTTATGGGTCTACAACCTCACAGTTTTTTGAACTTCAACCTCCATCTATACATGAATATTTTGTGTAAAAAGTTCAAAAATATTCAATTTTATCAAGTTGACTATTTGTTTAATGGACAGAGTTAAGTCATCAGGAACATTTTTTAACATCTCTCAAATATACTCTTGTTATGGACAACTTTATGAATGTTTCATCTATAATATCAACAACAGTAAATTTTCTATGTGAAAAAAGTTTGGTCTACTCTCAAGCAAAAATATATGCACTGTTTTAATAAAACATTTCAGTCTTTTTTAACAATATTCTGCATCAATGTTAGTAAAGCAGTGTTTTGAAATTGCAGTTGATGCATTAGTTGCTCTTGCTGCCTTTGCTGAGCAGCAATGCTGTCAGTTAAGGCTTTAGTGAGAGCTTCCTGTTGAGAAATGATGTTGTTTTGTTGTTGTTTTCTTTCATCAGCTTCAGCTTTTTTCAACATCAATTCTTCTCTTTTAAGTTCTGCATAAACTCTTGACTTTTGTTGTAAATAGGCAATGATTTCACTTCCATTGGATGACATTCTTCTTTTAGGTTTTTCACCATCTTTACTTTGAGATTTTCTTTTGTAAGTTTCAGCTAATGTTTCCATTGACTGTTGTCTAATTTCCACAGCCTTTTCTACTTCTGCAACAGAGTTTTGTTTTTGTTTCTCTTCTAAAATTTTCTCTTCTTCATCTCTATTTCTGAACAATTGAATAATTTCCTCAATGGAAGTTTCTACTGCAGATGGCTCTGGAGAGATCCCAGAAGCTTTTTCCTCCTCTCTTAATCTTTTCTTTTGTTGTTTTTGAAGTAAAGTGTAGTGGTCTCGAACAGACTTTTGCGTCACGTTAAACCTTGGGCTATCCATATCATTTAAGGAATCACTGATTTCCCATGCATTACCTCGTTGCTGTGATCCTTTTTTGAAGTTCCATGGTTGGAATAAATACATTTCACGAACTAGAATTTCATTATGTTCATTTGTCCAAGTCATTGCTTTTTTGCTAAAATTACAAAAATAATTAAGAATGCAAAAGAAACCAAACAAATAAACTAATTATAAATATATAATATTTCGTGTATATAAAAATATAATAAAATATTAGTTGAGTTGTAATATTGGAAAAAAACAATCGATTTAGTACTCTGTGTGTTAAATAATTTACCCTTATCTCAGTACAAACTGAACATAACAATAACTTATTGCTAAAAAAGGCTTTAAACACTTAAAACTGTTCGATTCCTACCTTTTTGTGTTTTGATGTTCATCCGCCATCTTTAACATGCAGGACGCGTCTAAAGAAGACGATTTCACGGCGTCGTCGCCAAAGGAAGCAGCCAAAATGTTAAGAAGCATGCGCACTAAAATTAACTCCCGGCGTCGTCGTAAAAATGTGAAGTTTCGTAAACTCTCTATTTTCACGTCGGCGCGGACGCCCGACGGCGTAAACAAAATACATACAACGCAGAACGGAAATAAAAACAACTTCCTCTTGCCGTTGCCGTCCAGTAAAACGTAGTTGCTTAAGCTCTTTACTATCTTTTTTAAGATAGCAAGAACACTATTTCTCTAAAAATTTCAAAGAAAAAAAGCAAACGCTAAAAAAAAGGGTATGAAAACCCTAATTAGATTTTTCCCGTAATATTAATTTAATTGCTGACAACGCAAATTATAAAGCAGTGGCTATTCATAATGAAGCATTTTGCCATATTTATTACACTTAGAAGAAGCTGCTGCCTAAATTTTCTTTTCGTTCTTTAAAATCAAAGTTGAGATAATATCTCAATAATAAACCCAGTGTTTTATATAATTTAGTTTTTCTAGCCGTAGATCTGCCACTGGAATTAGGTATTTTCCGTTGTTAATTGTTTTTCTTTTAGACATTTTCATTTAGACGAGCATAACTAGTGCCTATATACATGGGAGGCGGAGTGCGAGGAGGAACGTTTGCCAAGCAGGGATGTTTACATACCTGTACATTTTTATGAGAGTTTTTACATCTGGACAAAAGTTTACTTTGGAGGAGAAACCAACATAACACATTTTGTCAGCCTTATATTACTGAAGCTTTTGTTGTTAGCAGCATTCATAGTACATCGTATAATTTTACTATGTCCAACATTACTTCGTTATTTATTTTCTAATCTTGCTTTCATAATGGTATATTTCTTGCTTTGTACTTGATTCGATTAAGAAATTACAGTTGTTCGTTCAAAACTTTCACTGCCATGTACTGTTTCGAAAATCATCCAGTTGTATTTTTGAAAAAACGTCGCTACAATATTGTATATCTGGTTGTTTTTGACAAGTTTCGCACCTGTTTATTGCAAGTCAGCAAATTATCGCCCCAATCCAGTGTTGACTTTATCAAAGTTGATAAAACCGGTATCCCGATTAAACGAGACCGGACAAAAAGCGTGCCGTTGTCATATGAACAATTTAATATTGTATGTGTGAAGTGAATTTTGTATTTTTACAATTTTTCCTGAATTTGCTAACGGTATAGTTTCTTGGCAAATCAAGAATCAAAACGATCAAAACGATTTATAAATACGATCAAAACGGTTTGTTGTTGTTTTATTTTATTGTGTCTTCCACTACAGATGGCGCTGGCAGCGAGTTTTGTCTTTAGCGTGATTCTTACTTGCAGCATAATGATAAGCATAAGCTCAAGATTATGAAGAAATTCAGTTTTTATGCGTAGTCATTCATATGATTATGCTTATGTTATGTTAAGGCTTTAAGTAGACCGTAAAAAATTGGCGTATAGTAATTATTTGTAACACAATAAAAGTACCGCAATGTGACAATAAACTTAATAGCTCAAAATGAGGGGACACAAGAAAGCCTCGCTTGCACTTAGTCAAATGACATGCTGCATCTGCAACCATAATACAATGCCAGTTGCGTAGTAAAACCAGTATTATGATACGATGTAATAAATTTGGTGATAAGTAAGAGAATATTTGTATGGTGACCAAATGTTATCATTCAAAATCTTTGACAAAAATACAAACAAATAAAATTCTCTCATGAACCACGCTTCGTTACGTACTTAAAGGAGTTAAGAAGAATTTTTAATTTTTATTCTTTTTCTGCAATATCGAAATTTAGTATTGGTATATTATATTATGTAAAGTTTGTCAAAACAAATATGTGCAGATTAAAACATTCTATTAGAAATTCATTTCATACATAGTATTAACTAACCCTTTTTCAGCAAACGCATATTTGTCTTTTCAAGAAAGCCAGAGTTCATTTGCACGGAAACTATGTTTTCAACAGCTGTAATTAATAGAAAATATGCTGATAACATAATGAACATGTTCACCGACCAGATAACGAACATCACTTAACAGAAGACTACGTGCATGTATAAAGTCTTAGTCAAAAGCTCCAAGCAAAATATGTAGATATTAAATAATTAAGTTGCCAGAATTTATTTACACAGGTGGCTGTTTCAACATAGAAAGAACATCACATTAAAAATTTTTGACGTAAAGCAAGGAATGCTGTATTAATTCGCACGAAACTTCATTCATTAGTATGAAAGTGTTAGAGACTAAGAAATAATTGATCACATATTTTACTGAAAATTTTAGTTTCTTTTGCGTAGTTTGTACATCGTGACAATAACAACGTTATTGTTCATGCAATTAAAATACCATCTGGCTCTTATGAAATTATCTCAAACAAAAAAAATAAGCTGCGAAAATTATTTAATCTAATAATATACCTGTCATCGTAGCTTCTTCTTAATTACTCTGTCGGTGCCATTAGCGATGACTTCACACGCAGGTTGTAGCGTAGCTTATCTGCATTAACAGGTATTATTCTTAACTACTTATTTCAAGTGACAAAGTAGAATAGATTATGTCCTGATATTTAATTTCTCTTAAGTAGTACTAAAAACTGTGAGCTGAAACAAAGTCTAGTAAAATATATAATAATTTAACTTTCAAGTTAGATCAAGATTGTTTCGATCTTCACAGCTCCAGCGAACCAATTCAATTTCATTACTTTTGCAAGACAAAATTTCAGAAGTTTATTCGCAATTACGTATTTTGCCACTCCATCCTAGATGTTCCAATGCATGTTAGTCATGCTTGTTTTTCAGTTTTAATCGAAATTTCTGCACTTTCTAACAATTATCATTTAAAGTGGTTGAAAGTTCGCAAATTTGCACATGATTGCTTGTTAGCAAAGTACGCAAAAAGCTTTTCTATATTAAACAGACTTTACTTGAAGTTCAAACATTCACTTAAAAGGCAAGAAAAAAATTTCTATTAAAATTATAATTTCATTTAAAAAAACTAGTGAAATGACAGTGAACTTTTCAAAATAGTTCATTTATAACTTTAAGTTTACAAATAAACTCTTTTAGTCAAACTTTAAGGGAAAAGGATGTCACATTACATAAAGAGTTGCTGTTAGTTTATAAATATCCTGTAGTTTCCTGACAACTTTTGAATGAAATCACTTTTTTTACGAGGACAGAACTCTTTTCGATGAATGCAACATAGCAGAAAATACTTTGATAATTCAAATTCTCATTATGCAATGTGACATTACATTCTGTGTGCTTCAGACATCACACAACATTAATATTTTCAGAATTATAAAAAAACCCCGACTAAACCGTTTTCAAAAGTTCATTGTCATTCTAAGAGTTTTCTTCAGCAAATAAGTATTTTATATGGCAAGTTCTTCCATTACCTGCCCTATAAACAATGTGCATAAAAGTCAGTAATGTAATGTAATTATGTAAGGGCGTGTAACTGTGCAAATTATTACCCTTTGCAAAAGTAAAGAAAGTGAAATACGGATGTATGACAATGGCAACAGTTTAAATTTATGCGCTGTGCAAATGCGCAGACGAAATGATTGGAAACTTAATGTCTTCGCTAGTGATATAAAACAAATATATCTAACGATATCATTATATTTTACATTATTCACCTTGTGATTCTCTAAAATCAAATTTTAGGTTTAGCGAGGTAAACTAGCCTTATTTTAGGACTAACATGTAAAAGAAATGTTTTGTGGATCAACTTATTGAATAAATAGCAGTTTATTTTGAAGTATCCATATAGAGAAATTTGACGTTGCTTTTGTACAACCAATCATGACGATGAACACCAACCCGATAACAAACGTTTTTTTCAGTAGAAAGCTAAATACGAATTTTTCCAGAGAGAAAATAAAAAAAAAAGCAAACGTTATGAACCTTGAACTTTCCACCCTATTCGTCGTGAAGAAAAAGGTAAGCCGATATAGGATGCTTGTGTAACAGCTTTTTCAAATATACATTTACAGTTTACCTCTTATAAAATTTTTCGAATTTTTTTTCATAACCTTGTAACTTCTAATTGCACGAAGATTTTTTTAATACCTAATAGTAGAATTAAAAGTTCCAAAGGTTTTCCAACGATAAAATGTAGAGCCCTTGCCTTCAGGCAATTTGTTAAATTATCTGTAGCGTTCCATATACTTACAAGCGCAAAATTTTGAGAGAGGCAAATGATGCAAACCAATTACTTATCAAAATAAGTTCATCCATTGTTACAATACAACCATCAAACAGACGTTTTAAGAGAAAGAATGGACTACATGCAAGAGTAAGTTTTGAACTAACATTCAAGTTCGAACAAAATACATCTTTAAGTGTCATATAACACTTTTATTCGTCTGTTTACACCAACGTCGTGTAAATTCACGCATATACCCTGTTTCTTGCTCATTTTGGATAAAGCGTACGCGAACGCTGGGCATCTATATCCCGTTTTTTCTTTCGTTTTTTGTTATTATTATGTGCATGAATTATTACAAAAATTGGAGCTTAAGTTAAGCTTCACTGAATGAATTATTGAAGAACGTTTCTAAAAGATGGCATTTAAAAATGAAAAACGCGCAATAATAGATAATTGGATTCCTAATATTTGTGCGCACTTAAGCCAAATTTCCCAAACTTTGTTAGCGTCAACAACATCAGCCATATTTTAACCACATATGCTCTTATTGCTTTTTAGCTTTTTCATTAACGTTCGCAAGCTATTTCAAAAGTACCTTCTCGTGAGTCACAGATTTTTACTTGTGTGCAAGTACGTAAGCATAAAAAAACGAGATAATTCATGTTCTTTTTAAGTACGATTTGTGCTGATTCAGCTAAGTGAAATAACATCCTTAGAAACTGTTGATTGATATGAAATACTCTAATGTGATATGAATTACTCTCCTCCTGCATAGTCATGCGGCTTGGCGCACGTTTCAAATATAAACCGATTAACGAATACTTAAGATGATTTCTTTCTAGT